GTAGTTCGCTATTTCTAATGTTATGCATTGAAACTCACTCATGGGCTTACAAGGCCCATGTGGCCCAAAGTGAGTAGTAACTCCCATACACATCCTTCTTCTCTCAGACGAAGAACGCGAAGTCGTCTGAGATTACTGGGAATTGGATCATTCACAATCAAAAAAGGGATTTTCAATTCCTCGAATCGCTTTTCTGGTTTCGAGATCGAATCGCCAAGATGACAAAGGATTTCGCAGTTCCACCGGTTGTTTTCCCCTCCGGTGGCTCTCCGGCCGGCGCAAATGTCCAGCAGCGGCGAGTTCCCACCGCTCCATACCAGCAGCCTCGTCCTTCCGCTTCATCATCAATCCCTTTCATGTCGTTCGACATCGGATCCGTCGCTGCGTCGTCCTCCGCGACTCCGGCTGGTCCATTCGACGGAACAATCGCTTCTTCTTCGTCTTTTGGTGGAAGCTCTGCTTCGTTTGAAGACGAGGAGCCTTTACTCGACGAGCTCGGTATCCATCCAGATCAAATCTGGAAAAAAACTAGGTCGATTCTCAATCCTTTTCGGATTAACCAGACCGTTCACAAAGATTCAGATCTCTCTGGACCGATCTTTCTATACCTTGCGCTTTGCTTGTTTCAATTGCTAGCTGGGAAGATCCAATTCGGTGTTATACTTGGTTGGGTCGTTGTTTCTTCTATCTTCTTGTACATTGTCTTCAACATGCTTGCTGGTCGAAATGGGAATCTCAATCTTCACACTTGTACGAGCTTAGTCGGTTACTCTTTGCTTCCGGTTGTGATTTTGTCGGCGGTGTCACTGTTTGTGCCACAAGGTGCAGGTCCGGTCCGGTACGTGCTCGCGGCGGCTTTCGTGTTCTGGGCGACTAGGGCTTGCTCTAACCTTGTGGTGTCTCTAGCAGATGGAGGAGAAGAGCACCGTGGCTTGATTTCGTACGCATGTTTCTTGATCTATACTCTCTTTTCGCTTCTTGTTATATTTTGATTCCCTGATAAATTGTTGATCTTTCTGGTGCCATTAACGAACTAGCCTAATGCGGAAATCTTGAAAGTTTTTGTGATGAAATAGCTGAGACAATGTAAAGTTTTTTTTGATAACTTTAGAGGAAATTACTGTTGATGTGGTTTAAGTGATTTGATTCGATGTTCTTGAAGATCACTTACAAGTGGAAATCTTGAGACTTTTATGCTATATTCAATCCTTTTGTGTTTTTCTTTCACCAAATGAATTGTTCTTTGGGTTACATTTGGTGAGGGTATCCAAATGCTCATTTGAGCATGTGTAGTGGAACTAATGCAGTTTTAAGCGTAGAGTTGCTTATAATGCTTCTGCTTTGTTGATTTCCATTTGCTTATAATGGAAGAAAGTCATTACTATGTCGTAATTATACACTTAGTACTTAGGTTGCTTCAACTAAGATGACAATTAGCTTAAGGCGAGAGAAGGTATAGAGAAGAGTAATAGATAAAACTTTCGCCTTCAGTACAATTTCCTTAGCAGTTGGAGAAAGATAAGAGTGTTAGCTTGAAAATGTTGTTGAGGGGGTGAACTTTGGACTGCTTAAAATTACAGTGAGAGCAATGGTTTAAGTTGATTAGAGGATTTAGTTATGAGTTTTAGCTTTGCAGTCTTTACATGTAGCGGGATGCTTAGAATTCAATCGTCTCAAAAACATAATCTATGCGTTTATCGCACAAAAAANAAAAAAAAAAGGTGTAGAGATCACTACAAAATGGGGACTTTAGTGTTATGGCTTGTTACATTCATATGGTTGGGTTCGTAGACTAAGGAGTTTCCTTGTATCACTCTTTTAACTTCACCCGTGTAACTTTGATTTTTTTAAAACTTAGTCCCTAAACTTTTTGCTTAACAATATTCTTACAAATTTGGAAGACATGAAAAAACAACACACAACGAGGGTTGATGAACAACAATACTGTGAAAACCCCTCAACAATTGATTTGTAAATTTCACCAAAAACATTGATATGACTCGAATCTGACTTCCGCCAAACATTAAAAAAAAGATGCATGTTAAAAAATTGC